TCGCAGCCGCAAGTGTCGCGCCGCAAGTGTCGCGCCGCAAGTGTCCGCGCCGCAAGTGTCGCGGTACCTTCGGGCTATCCGCATTTAGGGAACAAGAAGTTCAGGAAGGGCAAGGAATAGCATTTCCAGCAATCCTAAAAAGCTGATCGGGCTTTCAAATGACCTTCGAATGAAGCAACCCAATTTAGCGACAGCCTTTAGAACAGTGGCCGATTTCAAAATCCTTTCAACTTTGCGGAGGGGCGGGTCCTAATTTCACCAACCTACCAAGGGGGTGGGAGGAGGGCTTCTGGGCGCGGCTACGCAGCATCATTTAGAATTGGCCTTTGCGGGGGTGAAGCGGAGGCCAGGGTGGAAATGGCGAGGAATGAAGGGCGAGTGAGGAGAAGGTTTGGGCGGCGATTCCGCGACTGACCTATGGAAGAGTGCATGCAGCTGCGCGGGACGGCGTGGAGGGCAGCGAGAGGATGGGGCCACTCGTGGAATATAAGGACACTTTTTTGGGTCGAGGCCCGGAACGGGGCTCAAAGATTGCAGCTGCGGCGGTTGCGAGGGTGTTTGGTTGGGTCAAAAGAGTCTAGGTGTACTTTTTTGGGTCTAGTATCTATGTGGTGTTGAAGAAGCGAATTCAGATGGTTTAAGAGGACCGGAAATAAAAAAATTCAGCCCCTATCCAAGGAGTAAGAAAAAGCAATGTTGTATTTTTGAAGCGTACGGTGCATTTTAATGAAAGAGAAAAAAAGGCGCGCTCAGAAAAAGGCTTATTCCCCTTTTTTCTGGGTTGACACACCACACCATTTTTCATAGCGTAATCGGTTAGGTTTTGCCACATCTAGATGAAGCTTGATCGAAAAGTGCCATCTTTATCCCTCTAATAGCCTTGGAATACATTTTTCCAGGTTCAATCAAATTCAGTCTAAGTCCCTTTAAAGTTCCATTAACATCATCTAGTTTTCCAAGACTTGCTAAAAATCCTGAAGATGGTTAAGCAAATCCGTAATTTTTTTGCCAACGCCAGCAAAAGTACGTTACTGCAAACTTCGATACCTTACGAACTGATTCCAAAAATCCTGAATTCTCCCTTATCCCCACTTCCGGTCCACGCTTCCACCACACCAAAAAAAAAAACGAGCTTTCAAAAATGCGCGTTCCCAGGGTTTCCCCGGTGTGCAATCGCCAAAAAAAAACCACGTAGACCGGCCGGTGGAGCCCCACGTTCCCAGGGGTTGACAAGTCGATCGGATGGATGGACGGATAGATGGAGCCAAGGGGGGAACGATGACATTCCAGTAGTCATTCAATCCACCGATTCTATAGGGAATGCCACTACTTGGGGGAGGGCACAAAAATGAACAAGTTGTTCGTCTGCTGGCTAGTAGAGCGGGGGTGGTGGAAATGGGTTTTGCAGCGCCCTCGCGGTGACTCAGAAATCCCTGAGGAGGGCGAGATCCCCCGTGGATTAGGAGACCGTAATGCTGTGAGTAAGCCGGGGGAGGAGGAATGGAATGGAATGCTTGGCGTCCATCATCCAGGAAAATATCTCGAGGCTTAGCGCCGGATTTCAGGGGTTATCGGATCGAATGCCAAAAATGGGACTGTTTTTCTTATTTGTAAATCTGGACAATGACTAAACTGGTGAAGTACTCGGACCGATTTAAAGTAATCGGGAAATGCCCAAAAAAGTACATGTAACTAGATTTTTAAAAATTTTTTTCTTCAAGTCGAAAGAAACAACCCTGCCTGTATTAAAACCCCCATTTCCGCAAAAATTAGGCTTTGAATTTTTTTGTTGTTTTTATATTTTTCAGGCAAATTAAATTCTACTATAACATATACTATGCTTATAAAACCAGGTATCAATTAAACAATTTTTGAATACATGATCACAAGAATACAGGTAAACATAAACTAAAACAATCCTAATTTAGACTAATTTTAAATTCCTTGCTACAGAAAGCCGTTTGGTACGGATTTTAAAGAAGCCTGGAAATCAAGAAAATGGCGAATTTACCGCCAAAACTCCTTAGAAGACATGGGAAATGAATAACACACATTTTCAAGGATTCAGATCCAGAAACTGTTTAAATTCCCATTAATGGCAAATTTCTGGAATTCCAAAAATTATGGGATGGCCCGAAAACGTGCCGAAACACGATCTGATTCAGACGACGACGACATCCTAGTCATCAAAAGAATTGTTTATACGATGACTCCGTACATCGTTCTCGATGTGTAAGCGACACCGTTTAGGAATTGTGACTCGGTCGCGGGAATGACGTAGAGATGCGACCCGGAGGCGGGCGCGTGTGTGTGACTGTTGATTTTGTGACTAGGCCCTGACGCCCAAGTTCGGACATGTGATGTTCGGGGTGGGGGAGATAATCTCGTTTCGGACAGGGGTGATTAAAAATAATATGTTTTGATGGAAGTGTCGGATGTGGTAATATAAAAAAATAGATTTGGCAAGGTTACAACAGCCACGGGGGATGGCGGAAAAAATGTAGTTGCTAGGGTGCTTGAGTGTGCCATTCAAATTTTAGGTCGTAGGCTGTAGACTGTAGGTTCTAGACTAGTCTAGCTTCGACAAAGGCATTGCTTATAATTCGAACGTTCGGCCTTAGCTGCTTGGTAAAAATTATAGACAGGATTATAACACTGTCTAAAAATCAAAAACGCTAAAGCAAGCGATTTTGACTTACCAAAAGCCAGGACACACCTTCAAAATGGCCAAAATCGGTCCCAAACCGGCCGTCTTTGACCCAGGCATAACCCCAACCCGTCATCGACCAACGGCTTATTGCCAAAAAAGGGCATCGCCGCGTGCGAATTTTGACGCATGCCCAAACATCGGCCAGCAGCTATGCTATTATCTGGGGAGCAATATTGCAAAACTGGGGAGCCCCGGGATGAGGTGTGGGCGGCGGAAAGCTGCGAGCGAGGATGTTTACCATCCAGCAAGCACTTTTTATACGAAACTGTTCGTATTTGGGAGGGTAGAGGGGGCTTTCGGGTGGGGTAGACTGGCACGCACGCCCACATCGGACACTAGGGCCCCCGGCCGGTTGCTCGGGCTAGGGCAGGGACCGGGCTAAATGGCTTGGCGACGGGCCAGATTCGAACAGAGTCGTAGATGGGGGTTATGAGGAGTGCATTACGGTAGGATAGTGCAATTTAAAGGGCACGTTCAGGGACGTTTTTGGGCAACAAAGAGAAGATTTTTGCCGCGAGGGGCCGGGGGCGCCTCACCCCGGAAAGGAGGGGAATTGCCTGCCACGGCACGGACTGGCAGTGCGCGCGGTCCCTACGTCCATAGGATGTATACGTTGGGCAGAGTATACGGCCCCTCCCTGAACGTGCGCTTTAAGGGCGCGGGATGCGCGCAAAGTGACCGTTTGGCTGGATGGGTATTCGAAGCTACGCGTCGCTCTTAAGGCCGCCTGCAAAATATCTCTCCTGGTTTCAAATATAAAAAATACAAAAAGTGGGTGTCATTCATGAATTTATTGGATTTTGGTGCCGACAACTTAGAGAGATTCTTTAGGAAGGTGCAGGATGAACCCCAGGATGAACCGGCTAGCAGAGATATTTCGGGGAAAACAAGCTAGCAAAGATTTCTCAGTAAAGGCTCAGATAGCAGAGCTTCCTGAGGAAATATTAGGCTAGCAGAGAAGCCCCAGTGAAGAGCAGGCTAGCAGAGATTCTTTGGGGAAAGACCACCTAAAACGGATTATTAGACTGTCGACCCCTGGTCTATTGAAAGTGTCGACTCCGCGCTTTCAACCCCCTTTAATACGAAATCTCGCAAAATAAGAAGCCAAAATTTGCTTCAGATTCGTATAGAACCAAGAGTAGAATATATTCTCAGGAAATTTCACGATTGCCTGTTGTTTTCGAACGGACGCGCTCAATCCCAGGAAAACCCCACTAATCCTCGGGATCCCCGGATTCTACAAAATTTCGAAAAATCTGTTGCCACAGGGGGGGGCTTTTCTAATCTCCGATGATCCGGGGGGGACGGCCAAAAAGCGTGGAAATTTTGTGACACTACATAGAGAATCAAAAATCCTTTTTGGCGCGATTTTTATTTTGTTTTGGCAGTACTGCGCAAAGCGACGGCAGAAAACTACAGTCTCTCTAATACGCGCTAATGCCACCGTACTTTGATGAAATTCCTAAAACACATCAGCAGAGTTCTTCCGCACTTTCCGGACCGCGATACGAATCCCATGGCCACCTGCCAAGTAGGGGTGCCCTACCGGCTGCACTCTACGCAACGACCCCGGGCTTCACCCCGGAGCCGGCTGGGCAAAGTGCCAATTTGCGCGGTAAATTATGGTCTCGGGGCTTATTTGGGGCTAAAGGGGGGTTGGGTTTGGTATACGGCGGGTTAAAGGGATGGTGAAGCGGGGAAATGCTTGCGTAAAGAAAAATCGTTTATGGGAATCCATAGTCGTAGCTTGCGAGTTCCTTTACGCCAAGGAACCGTTAATATAATAATGGAATCGCGACTATACGGGCCCTTTAAATGTCTTGTTCATACCATCGGCCTGCTTCATTTGCATTACAAAGCGTATAGTACGGGTGTGCTTTCAATACCTCCACTATCTCGACCGGATCCAGTAATCCTTCGTGGGTGGTATCGTGGGTAACCATCCCTCGGCCAAGTCTACTTTTACGATACTTCCTCAAAAAGTCGTAACCTCTCGGTTTGATGGCCCTATTTTTGGGGGAAGTTGGCACGCGTTCAGCAGCCAAAACCTATTGTTTATGGTGACGCGCGCTCCCTTCAGTAGCCGGAGTATCGAAACGTAAAACCGGGGGCAGGGACAATGGCCGAAAAACGGTTTAACGGTTTCTGGCGGGGGGGGGTTAAGCCCGTAAGATACCAACAAATTTAATGCTAGCGACTCCTGGAATTCCACTGCATTTCTTTGAAATTTATTTGAACTTGAACACACGAAAACTGAATATTTATTCATAAGCAGCTAGCAGTTCACTCATCTTTCTGCAGCTACCCTCGTGAGATCTGAAGTGATAATATGGCAATTTCAAAAGGACTCAAAAACTGGCACCAAAGCACCGGCGTATAATAAATATTAGACAAAGCAAGGAAGCAAAAATAGTGCAATATAGGTGGTGATCGTGATCAGATTAGCGGCAATGGTTGCTACCCCTTTCGTCTGGCACGGCGCCACGTGGGATACGGTACTCCGGTAGGTCTGCCAGAGTCGTTGGTCGCTGATGCACAGGGCTCCACCACCACGTTTTAGTTGAGATTTTTGAAAATGGTTTTAAGGGCTTCAAGGTAAGAAGATTTTCAGTGACGTCTGAAGGAGCCTACTTGTCGGTTCAAGTCCCCAATGCAGACCATCGGCACCCGAACATCATCACTCACCGCCCATTTTGAGTGGTCCTTGCTCGACGAGAATTTGGTGCCCAGCAAATTGATCTCGTCAATGTCATAGACCTGAAAGGAAAAGTGTTAATTCTGAAAATGCATAGAAAATATTTTCAAACGAATTCCGACCTAGAAATTTAGGCAAACACAAAATCGAGGTGTTCAGTTATTTAATAGTTCTGCGCTTTTTCCTTTTCTCTTCCTTGAATACTTTCCTTTGCTCATAGTTAGATCACAGACAGTAATTCGATGAAAAATTTACCTCTTCTCTCAAAATAATTATTAAGGAAATTGGCTCTTTCAAACCCTTTTCAAAAACTGCCAGTGTTGATACGACGTATTTCCAAAAAACTAAAGCTTTCCCTAGTTCTTAACCTTTCCACATTAATCCTCTAATCGAAATGTTTAATTTTCCATCGGAGAAGTCCCCCCCCCCTAGGGGCTGGGGAAGCCCCGAAATTGTTGACGTCAACGCAAGGTGTGGGTGTTTGTTGTGAAAATGGGGCGGCCGGGGGCCGACCACCCAATAAAGACCCCCTCCCGTCGCCCCAAATCGGAGCCGCGATGGCCGAGTGGTCTAAGGCGTTGGACTTAAGTTCCAATGGGCGTGAGCCCGCGTGGGTTCGAACCCCACTTGCGGCAAAGTTTTTGCTTTTTGCGCGAGGGGGCCTGGAAAAGGTATTGGGTTCGTGTTAGGCTTTGTAGAGGTGTAGTTTTTCACGAATTTTGCCTATTTTTTGGCGCATTATGTCGTGAAAACGTTAAACCTTTTCGCACGCTATTTCGCTAATCAACACTTGACGAGCTCTTCGACAATATAAATTTCTAAGGGTTAATTACAGATACCTATTAAATATATCACAAATATTTTAAATATATATGTTTCATTTTACTCACATTTCCCTCCGAGGTACAAGTTGATCCCAAATCATCCGACCCTCCATTTAGCCAGCTTTGAACGCCAAAAGAAGCTCGTGTAGTTGGCACAATAAGATCGTGCCACAGATCTAAAATCTCTAATATTTTTTCAAGGCTAATTTTATAACGGCACCTTTATCAAATTTCTTATGCTTGGCAAAAGCAAAGAATTTGGCTCCGTTGACCGTCGTGAGCTGGTTGTTTAGTGTGTATTTTACAGTGGAGGTTGGTAGTGACTTTTTCTGGGCGATGGTACGAAGGATAGGATACCTTAAACTATATTTTGAACCCAGAAATCTTAATTTTACTTACTTTGCCGCAAATTTCTCTGGTAGTCCAATATTAAACGGGTTCGATTGAATATATCGCAAATGGTCGCCGATTTCATTTAGGGCATCGGTGGCAGCGGTGATGCAGACGAAGGATTGGGCAAATTTTACGCCAGTTTGTGGGTAGGAATACGATCCTGAAAGTTACATCTCTAAATGGATTTTTCGATATTACAAACACTTCGAAAATTCAGGCTCTTGAGGTTAATAAAGCTAGGGTAACTTTATCAGAAAAATAAGCATTTTAATATGCATTAATTCCGAGATGTTACTTACCAATTGGAGGGTAATTGGGAACAGAATGTAATAACCAAAATCCGGTCGATGAATCAAAGTTGAGCACACCCTTGGCATGGCCCCTAAAATTCCCTTTGACCACAGGTCTCGTGCCTCCCCCCTTATCACCCCTCTCCCCCGACCAGGCACCACCGCTTCCGTGGCGCAATCGGCAGCGCGTTCGGCTGTTAACCGAAAGGTCGGTGGTTCGAACCCACCCGGGAGCGTACTTTTTGCTTTTTGAAGGAAATACCTGTAGCCATCTGATTTAGTGGCTGGCCCATCGTCGGAGTAAGCGAAGCGGAAGGCGGACTAATATCGTGTAGTTTATATTACAACTCATTTTACCTCGTCTTGGCGATATATTTGGGAAATTGTGGCTGCTATGGCAGAATTTTCATCAGAGATTAGTTTTTTAGATTGGGTCCATTGCGAGTTTTTGCCGTCAGCATAAATGAAGGACCGGCCATCCGAACCATTTACACCTTGAGGGAGTTTGTAGGCGACGAACCTAAAAAATCGGCGTTAAGGCCATAAGCTTCCAGAGTTACCAATCAACATTCTGGCCGTCGAGTCCCTTACAAGAAATCCTAGCTTCTAGCCAACCAAAAAGCCCAAAAATGAGCGGTAACGCCAACTGCATCACTAAAAATAAAGCGATATCCAAAAAGAAACAGAAACGAAAAATGAGACATCGCGTTTTGGGGTGGGCTTGAGAAAACGGATGAGTCATTTTTGGGGGGCGATTTTTCAGCCAACAAATGGGGCCGGTTATGATCTGAAAGAAAACCCACCGAATCGATTTCCGACATGCTGCTTGTTGCAAAAACCAAGAATGGAGCTGTAGAGGCGCCCTGAATTATATTTATTATGACTCATCTCTTCAGAATTTAATTTTACAACATTTCTTCAGTTCCGATTTCTTCCTGTAAATCAAATCGGTGTTTCATAAAAAAATACAATTGCCTAAATTTTAGGATGTCTTATTCAATAAGACCAAGTACGGCTTTGATATATTTATCCACCGCACAAAAATAAATCAACAATAAAAAAGGCACACAATCTCAACTAGCACATCAAATTTGGGGAGGGTCACTTAGTTTGAGAGATTTCCTACAGTCAAAATACGTTATAATTCCGTAAACAATTGCACAGCGGAATGGCGGACATGGCCAGAAAATAGAAATGAAAATAAATACGATACGACCAAGCCCGGAATAGATAGAGACTGTAAATCCCGCACAGTATCACAATCACATGCTGAGAAAGCAGGGAAATCAAAGAAAAGGAAAGAGATATATGATTTGTTTTGATAATCTTGACAGGGGATAATGTGCCTAGCGAATCGGAACGGTATGGCCAATAACAATAATCAATTAAACAAGGGGCCAAAAGTTAAAAAGCTTAAAAATAATGTACAAACTACAATACAACGGCGCAGGCCATCACTTCGCCAGTGGGCTGGCATCGAACCCGCGTCAATTCACCGGGCAACAGCCGGTAGAGATCCGGGTGTTCTCGTTCGAGTTTGACGTCCTGAAAATTAACTAACAATATTAACACTTAAAAGCGCTTTTATCGTTTTAACGAATTTAAATTCTGCCAAAACTTACCTTTAACAACTTCAACACCGGCGCCAACGGCTCGTCCTTCACGCTCAGTCCTAGGGCCGTGTAGGCGGTGTTGCGCACAAAATTGAGGAAGTCTTGCTCATTTTGTGGACTCGAAAACGCCATCAAATCCGCGAGATTCCCGATGTGACGCTCAGTTATCTGCAAGTCAGCATTAAATAAGTATCACTTGAAATAGACCATCGTACACACGTATCAAATAGGACAGAAAAATCATGGCAAAACCCACCCCTTGATGATCCAGCGGATCGCTATCCTGCGTGACGCCTCCAAATCGAAATTGGAACGTGATAGCATCTCCTGGAGGCTCGATTCGAATAAAGTACCCATCGTCGAGACCGCATTTCTGAATTTAATAAAATTATTGATTTGCTACGTTTATTCTTACCGGGAAAAACAGTCGAGTTCCGATGCCCGGGCCCCAGCGCATGAAGCTCTCGACGACAGAATCTAAATCAAAGTTCAGTAGCAGTCGTTTTCATCGCAAACCTTCGTCATAGGGCTTCATCGTGATCCGAACAAAAGTTGCAGTCTTTCCGCGCCGATTCATTAGCATATTGCCCTCCCGTCGGAACAGGAAAACCTAAAAATAAAGTTTCTAAAGGATTTCCGGTTCGGCCATAATGATAAAGCTTCAAAACCCACAGCTGGTATTTTAATATCATCCTCCTTTTCGATATCCCCAGACATGGCAAATGGCTGACTCGTTTCGGCAGAAGTCCCAGGTTTGTTATCTGAAAAGTTAGATATTTTTGCGCTTCCAGGGATGAAAACTGACCAATGACAATAACGCCAACGGCGCCAGCTTCCTGTACATTTCGGGCTTTGTCCTAAATAATGCACATTTTGTAATTACGTTAAACAAAGCCTACCTGGAACATGCAGTCGCCACGCTGAACCGCTACCACTTTTCCCTTGACCTGGGGCCCGTTGAGCAAGGAGGAGCAGCCGGAGAATGGGACGGAAAAGGCGACTTCGGCTTCGACCTAAAAGTCGGGTTTTTATTAACGTTTCCTGAATGGTCGTTGCTGGCCTCCCTCGAGTAATGGGTGCTTTTTCTTACCGAATAGTCCTCCAAAAGCCTTCCAAATTGAGCCGGAGCGGCGAGCATCACCGGTTTTCCCAAATAGGGGTAGGAGAGCAGCTGGATGTAGATATCGGGTTGGGGTTGTTCACGGCCTGCTGCTGCTAAAATGGGATTTGCATAGCACTTGTAAAAATAGTTCTTGAAAATATTTTCTAGTTCCGTACTAAATTAATTATTACAGCGAAATTTGCAGATTCGAATTAGCTTGTAGACATTGAAAACCTCCAAACACTGATCAAAGTTCCGGAATACTCTTTCAAAATATCCAAAAATTACCAGCTTGCTCGACCAACTTCTTCGCCAGCTGATCGGCTTCTAGAAGGAATTCGAGACCCCATCTCGCCATTTCCACGCTGGCGGCCTTAACAAAATTATTTTACAAACGTTAATTTAAATTTTCCTAATTTATCCGCTGTCCTTTTGTATCTCTCTGCATTTTTTGTATTCTTTCACTTTATATTCCAATTTATTCGGTGAGCCAGTCGGGCCAAAAAACGACGCTAGTGTACACGTTCAGTAATAATCACATGGGGGGAACGGCGGGATCACAAAATTCACAAGTGAAATTAGCGAGTCGTTGTAAAAAAATATACTTTACAGTTGTAGCTTAAAATTTTACCTCCTAGTTGGCCTAACAATCGGACCCGTCATGTTATTTGACTACGTACAGAGAGAGAGCGAATTATGCAAGTTAATTATAAAAAAACACGAGTTACAACAGAAATTACTTTACAAAAACGATAGTTTAAATGAAGCACAGATTCACAATGAACTAGGTCAAATCACCGTTACGATATCTTTAAAGCCGTTCGAGGACTTGGTAGTAGAAAAAAAAATAGTGATATTTTGATAAAAAAATGGAGGTAAAGTTTAAAAAACTTACAAGTATAAATTTAAAACTTTTCGATGGGATCCCAACAAAATATGCTCTTAGAAAATGAAATTAATGATAGAAAAATAGGGAAGTCACAAAAAAAATTTTGGACTAAAAATCTATAAAACCTAGTCCTCCTTCGACTTTCCGGCATCAACCCCCGCATCGTCCAACAACGAGGGCATCACAATGACGGGCTTTTTCGCGAATATAATCCGATAAATGACGGCGACCGCGCAGATGACGAACGCCGTCGTGATCATCAGCGCCACCCAGAGGAGTACGACCATCAGAACGAGCGACAGCATCTGCCCGACGTTTTGCGGGTGTCCGCCTTGGACGGGCAGCATCGGTGTTGAAAAGAGCCAGTGCTCCATGGTGGCCGTGTCCTCGTCAATCACACAAGACACCACGTCACCCTGCAAAAATACGGCTCGCCGGCGGTTTTAACGCTTTTTTTATTGTTTTTATTAGAACTTAGGTGAGGTTTGGGAAATTAGAGGAACTGAGGAATTACGGACAATTATTTGAACTTTTTATAAAATTAGCATCCCGCAACTTATTCCCAAGAGAGCAAAAGAAAACTGAAAGGCGCTCTTCTCCTTTAAAAAGCAAATCATGAGCTAATAAAGGTTGACAAATTGGTCCTAAATAATTCGCCCTTTTGTAAATAAATCGCTACATTAACAAAATCAAAAAGACTTTTTGAAAAATTTCCGTCATAAAAATCGCATATAAAAAGGTGCGATATAGCAAGCAGGCTTTTCTGTGCCCTAAAAGTCACTCAAAAATGGATAAAAAAAGATAACTGAAGCCCGTTAGGTAGAGAAACACGCGACAGCAATCACTGGGCATTCAAACATAAATGTTAATAAGGGCGTAGCCAAAATTTTTCTTTATTTGGAAAGCGAATCACTGCCGCGCGAGCCGTATTTTTGCCGAATCAGAGTGGTAGGACGTACGACACAATACGGGGTGTACAACATTAATTCAGGGAGAGCGGGGAATTTTGTATGATTTTGTGCATGGGTACTGTACGTCCATAATGCCGAATTTTTTTTGATAATCCAAGGACAATGGGGTGACAAATCCAGGACTTCCAAAAATTTACAAATTCGGTATTATGAACAGGTTTTTCTGCATATTACGTGTGTAATTTCATTGCTTAAGCGGCGGCTTGGAAAGCTTGAAAAACTTGGCTTACATTCGTTGCGTGATGGCTGAGATGTATCCGGCCGTCGTCTTGAACTTGGACGTCAATGCCCATCTGGCGAAGCTGGCGGATGTGGTCGGCGTCTTTCGCGTCGAACGCCCAGGCTTTTAGGCGTTCCGTCCTAAAACAGTATTGTTAAACCCGACGGGGAATTAATAGTTTACAATTAGAAGCAAAGTCTGGGCGTAATTTTCAACGCAAAAACCTAATTGAAACTCACCCAACGCATGCTCTCTATATAACAAACGATTTGAAGAAATACGATAACCGAATAGCCGCCAAATACAAAACAATATCCAGTCTCAAACTAAGGATCACGATAATTTATCAAATCCAAAAACTTACGGCTTCATGCACTGGCCGCTGCCCTGAGCAGCGTGTTGGGCTTGGAGTACTGCTACCTCTTCTAGGACGCTCTTCGTTCGCTCCCGAATTTCCCGGGGCTTGTTCGGCGCCAAGCGATCGCGGTGGGACCACTAAACTGGAAAATTAAGAAAATTCGCGGATTTTTACCGGATTCGCATGAAGTGCTTTGGCCGCATCGACTTCCTCTTCTCCCCTGGCATCAAAGATGATCTTTCGAGGGATCTAGAACAAAAAAAAATAAATGAGCATGTCAGCAGAGCTCATTTGAGAAAAAAAGGTTTTTCCAATTCTCACCTCAACATCGAACACCTTGGCCATGCTCAGCGGCAGGAAATGGGCCTCTGTGGTGAGCACGTACTCATCGGGATCGAGCGGCAAATCTTCTGGTTCGGAGAAGATCATGTAGAGGTATTTGAATGTCTCGGAGAGGACGAACGAGTCCATACTAAACGAATGGCATCAAGCAAAGATGATTCAGAATTACCGGTCCTCATGGGCCATCGTTCGTATGTCCTTGATTCCAGCGTATCCGCACGGAACTTTTACGTTTTCATTCAAGCTTTGCATGATCTGAAAAAAATAAAATTAAGTATATCAGCGTCAGAACTCTGCAAAAAATTCCGAATGTAACTTACCATTTTCGCAACTTCCAAGTAATGCTCATCGTGCGTAGCTCTATACAAAAAATATGTCGATTCCAGGAATTCCGGGCGAAGCGGATGCTCTGCCCAGTGCACTTGAAAATCGTGCGTGAAAGCCTCGGGCAGGAATTTGTGTTTCTAAAGAACACAATTATTTGAATTGCTAAATTTAACAGACTTACCTTGACCACCTGGTACAACATCTCGTGCATCTCGATGGCTTCTTTGATGTCGCCTTTCAGGACCTGGAGTCCGGGCCAAAAGGCCAGGAGCGCATCCATGAAAGAACTAAAAAATTTAAATTTTGCATGAAAAAAAATCGAAATACCGTGTGGCTACAGTAGGGCGGTGCATGTGGACATCAACAAAGAATGGACCCTTGTTGACGTATCGCATGATGGCTTCGTAATGCTGGAATTAAAAAACTTATACACTTTTTTCAATGATGTCAATAAAAATGAATGCAGTAGAAACATTTAAATATTACAAAAATACATTACTAACTCGATTGAACCGCTCCAAATAGTGATGATCGCCGAGCAAAATGTAGGCCTTCAGACAATATTCGTAGTACGAATCAATCCCGGCGCCGATGCCAGAATCTAAAGAAAACGTAGAACCGTCTGCTTCTTTTAGTCTACCTCTTCGCACCCAATCTCCGGTATTCACGTTCAGAACGGTCCCCATCAGATCGGAGCTTCTAAAACAATTCAGTGTCTCGCTAAAAAAAAGATCTTGTACCGATGCCGCTGTGCCCACAAAAAGTCCATGGCCTTCTTTGCTTTTTCCTCGTAAACTGGGTTGCCAGTCAGCCTGAAAACATATATTAGATTTTTTTTATTCTAGAGCTGTTTCACCTGCTGAGCGCGGCCATTTCCAAAAGCAGTGTGCCGCCGCACGCGGTGCAGGTGTCTTTCTGGCGTTTCAGGTATTCGAGCATCCCGTGGCGCAGGTTGATCTGAGCAAACAGGAATGTATGAAAATTGGTGATGGCATGTAGTGTGAAATTATTCCCGAGATCATCAGAGCGAGAAATTATCCAAAAGAAAATGGTCAATAAATCTCATACCTTTCCGTAAGGTATCCCAGAGGTTGTGTTAAAGGCCGGAAGTAACCGATCGGCCAGCTCGACAGCCATTTTCAACAGCTGCTTGTCGGTATACCTAGAAGAGCAAAATTCAGAATGGCCATCGAAAAACCAACCACTGCAAATATTCAGGACTTTGCCCGCGTAATCGTTCGGCCATCAAATGCCCCGAGATCAGCCCGCCGACCATTCTGATGTTCGTCTCAAAAACGGAGACGACAAGGTCAGAATCAAGACGAACGTTGTCTACTATCTAAAAACAAGCTTTCCAGAAATAATTCACTTTTTCTTATCTAGAATTACAAAATTTTCAAAATTCCTACCAATTTCACAGCCCTCGAGAACTCGTCGAATTCGCCAATGACGTAGAGGGTGTCCAGGGTGTCGACGAGGGTTAGGGAGAAGCTAAACTTAAAGTTATCTCCTCTTCCGTTTACTGAACAAGTAAAACGCGCCAATTGGCGCAAAACGTACTTTCCAAGCGCTTCATCAACATCTCCCCTGCTAGGCGTCACACCCCTTTGCCGCCCTTTACAACTCAACGGCATCAATTCGTCGGCAGGATATGCGTGCTTCATGTAGGACCGGTAGCCGTGCATAAACATATCGTAGGCTTCTTGTCTAAAAACAGCCATTTTTATCAACTTAATTTTCAGGGGTTTTCCACAACGTTATCAATTTCATTTCCTTCTTTTCAAGGATCCCCCGATGAACTCTGAATCGTTCTCGACGTCTCAAATTTTCCCGGCCGCTCCCCCCTGCAGGGGAAAACGTCAAGGCGACCCGGCGAACCGGTTCCCCAATGCCGCGGGGGCTTTCTCTTTTTCTCTATGCCTCCGCCCTTTTCTCTCAATGATCCATAGTACTTTTTAGCGTCTCGCGGTCAACCACACTTTCCGCTGTGTATTCGCTGGTCTATTGTATGCCGCTGCGGCTGGTGGAAAGGGAAAATCGGTCGTTTTTTGGGTAAATCTGGTGCCGAATGGGATCGATTTTGACTGAAAAAAACGCGAAGCAAGCTTTAAAAAGCTGTGACAAATTTCTCGTCGAAAATTAGGTGAGGTGAGGGCTAAATTCATGCAAAACACTCACTTCAAAGCAGCCTTGTCGATCTGCGCGCCGACGAAGGCGAAAAAGAAGAGTAGAAGACATATCACCGGGGGTCTGCTTTTACACATGTCGTCTCGTCGAGTTGTGTACGATACCCATAAAATGAACCTGAAAAGGTACCATTTACGCATTTCCAATACAGCCTTTCGTTCTCAAATAAAATTATTGCCATAATGCATACCCGTGAAACGATCAGAATACTTCCGCGCTGGAACCCGAGTTGTTGCTGACTAGATGATGCAGATATTCACAGCATGCTCCAAAATAATCGAACCAAATGATGGCGAGCGGCCCACGGCGGCTGGAAGTCTGGAACGAGTTTTCAGTTGTCAGCTAGAAGCTGTCGAGATGTCGGAGTGAGGCCGAACATTGGCAAGACACAGGTGCAAAGTAATAGGCAACAAACAGGCAATTTCATTTTCACGTGATTAATCAAATCGCAAATGGCCGTAGCCCGGACGCGAACAGACCAATGCGCCAATTTTTTAGCTGGGGCGGGCAGGTGAACGCTTGCAGGTTCAGCAAGGTTTGATTAGAACGTATTTTTTATAAATATTCTGCTGCAGGTTGCTGGGCTAATTGTATGCTATTTCGGGCCGGGAATTTTGGCAAATTGCTCGATGTCCAAGTGGAGGCAGGTGGTAGGCCTGATATTGCAAAGCTTCGGGTCAAAACAAAGGATCGTTTTAGCAAAGGTCGGAAAGGCGGTACTTTGCAAACTTATAAGATTCTAGTCTTAGCCGCCGAAGAAAAATTAAAGAAAAATTAAGGTTTGTATCGAAGTCTTGCTACGCGAATAAAATGAAGCAGGTGATTTACTAGCTAAATTTAGCGCATTTCTGGTTGTATACTGGGAATTAAAGTTGTAAAGGCTTGGCAAAAGCGTAGAAGTCCATTCAGATCGAGCCTCGTGGTTCGCCATCTGGACTTCCCCCATTCTCCCTGGCCGCAACGCACTTTGCAAGGCGGCGCGGCGCGCCAAACGGCGAGCCGAGGCGAGCGCACCACCAACACCCGGGCTCTGTCCTGAACGGCTTGTCGCAAATGGTTGTCCAGAGAGATTTCGCGCTATCGTTCCGGGTTGAAGGAGGAACCGGCAAGCTAAAATGGGTAGACAGTGATGCATCTTTACCCGGGCTAACGATTGGAAGTATTTTTAGAACCGGCACCAAAACGGCTTGCTCTATTTAATATAGGAAAAGCTTCTTAAAATCATGAAACAGCAAAACATATCAATTTCCCACGCACTGACTAGGGAGGTATCTGAACTCGGCATCGAACCTTGAGAAGTAAGATACACCATTCGACGCGCCTTGTCGAGTGGATTCCAAATATGTAATAAAATCAACCAGAGCGTATAACGGTAAAAAGTTATGAGCATTCGAAGTCGACAAAATGGTGAAAAACAGTATCTTTGAGACCATGTATCATCCCGCGGAATGGAATTTAGCCTAAATTGATTAGTGCTCCTTATTCAACAAAGAAAGCTCTTTCAAATGAGCTATGTTACATACGGCTGCCAAAAATTTCCGTAAAAAATATTTTTGGAATGCGGCGTAAGGGTAGGGTATGGCCAGCTCGCCGAAGACGTTTCGAGAATGTCGCGTAAAGCCTATGTAAGATAGCTCATTCGAAAGGGAATTTTCTGCTGATCAAGATGTACTGTTCCATCTTCGACAAATTAGATTCTTCGAATTCGTACAGAGTCTTAAAAGGGCGGTTTTTGATGATTTTGCCAACTTTGATATAGAGAGCGTCCAATCCTGGTCTTGTTGCCCGAGGTTATTTTATCATCGCTGGTGGCTTTTAGGGGTCACACAGTCAAGAAAAACTTATTCCCGAGTTTGGACATGCAAAAAGTAGGAACTGGTCAAAAAGCAAAAAATAAAAATCGTGAGCGGATCCGAACCCTGGTCGTACAGACCGGAGACCCATGCGCACACCACCAGGCCACGGGGCCGATGAACAGGGCGCGCTGGGAGGGGCTCATATCGCCGCGGCGCTTTTCGCTGCAAAATTTAAAATGCTCATAACTTTTTATCGTTATAGGCTCTGGTTGATTTTATTACATATTTGGAATCCCCTCGACAAGGCGCGTCGAATGGTGTATCTGACTTCTCAAGGTTCGATGCCGAGTTCAGATACCTCCCTAGTGAGTCATAAGAAATCGATTACACATCCCCAATCTCCTATTCCCAAGATAAATGGTCTGGAAACGACAATGAATAAGCCATTTGCCCAGAATGGGCCGCTTTATAGCTTCCCTACGAATCGGACAAACAAGTGTCCAGGCAGTGCCATTCATCGCAGGTGATTGCTTAATAGCCATCACAAAATACTAATAAGTGACCCGACTGTACACTTTAAAAAAGCAGTAAAGTTATTAAAAGTGTCAGCGCTGGCCGAGTTTTGCAGACTTTATTCTTTCGATCAATGGACGACGTCAAGGATGTATGTGGAAATTCCGGCGGAATTCTAGTGTAATTAGAAGAAAATAAGGGCACTTTTAAAATAAATTGTATCTAAGAAAACAGAGACAACGGACGCGTGGCCAATGTACACAAAAAGGGGGAGCCGATCAGCTGACTGCTAAATAGAATTTTGCCCGTCTATCGTGCAAAAGCGGACGGCCGGACCGGTCACGATTAAGAAAGCCTATTTTTTCATAGCTATACATATCCTATGAAACAAGAGAAATAACAAATTCGGTGAGCGGAGAATGGGGGACGAGTAGTCACAGGCTTTAGATGATGATGTCGAAGTCGCGGAGCTCCTCCTCAGCTGGCAGAATGGCCATCACCCGGTCGCGAGGAAGGAGATCGGGAGAGATGAGGGGCAGTCCGGCTTTTCTGAAAAAAATAATATGATAAGTGCCTTCGAAAAGCGATAGGGGCCCGAAGCGCAAGAACGACACTTACCGCCTACGCTCAATCTCCAAATGAGCCTCACGCAGCGCCCATTCCTTGCCCTGCGGCCAATCCGGGCGGAACCAAATGATCCAGCAGGTAATCCACACGGTCAGACACTAAAGAAAATTTTTATGTGGCAACAAATAAAAGCTTACCGTCATAGAAACGAAGAACATTCCGTGGAATCGCTTCCAGTCGGCGTGCTCGTCGTGGGCCACCTGGTTAAACCAAATCCACTCGCGGCGAATCTTTGCTCCTTGGTCCTTGGCAAGCGGGCGGCGCCAACTGAAAAAGATCTACAGTTAATTAATAACACACAGTAAAAAACGCAAATTTATCTTAAAAGAAACTAACCCATCGCCAAACAACCAATCAAGACGTCCGCCGTTTAGCTTAGGCCAGGGGTTGTCGTAGGCATAGCTGTCGGAACCGGGACGATAATCCTCCGACTGAAAAAATGCTGGCAATTACCAAAAAGATATGTCCACACCTGTCGCTCAACCTTCACATCGTCGTGACCGTGTCCATGGCCATGTCCACCGGCCAACCCACGGCAGGCCACCGGTCGAGGCAGGGCCAAGCGGGTGGTCGTCAGCCGCCCAAGCATCCCTGAAAAAAACTTTTATTTAGACCAACAACGCCCGCAAACGCTTGAAGCGAGAACAACGATTGAGACCAACTGGAGAACATAAATATTGACAACGCTATGAAGTGACGGAAAACGTGAGGGTGTGTGATAAATTACAGGAAAAGCGGGCGCTTACTAAGCAAAATTGTCGAAACAACCCAGAGGAAATAACCGTCAAGATTAGGTATGGAATTTTGGGAAAGATTGAAAAGGTGGAGGCCAGGAAAATTGGTCAACAATGAGGCATGATTAGTTGAATCGGTCACGGTTGAAGTCACGTCGTGGGCCGGATCCGAAGTCCCTGGGGCCAGAATTGTAGTCGTTGCGTCCGCTCATTCGTCGATCACCCATTGGACCCGCGCCGCCGGGTCGCTGGAATTGCGGTGTGGTGATGGCCACGTCGATGTAATCGCCGATCTCGAATTTGCACTGGTGAAGGGTCTTGTTGTCGTCGACGCCGCGCGAGCCGTTCATCGTGTTGCCGATCTCGCGCATTTGGAAACGAGGCTGAAAATGGAAATTTATATTTTTAAACAACAAGATCTGATTTCAAGCTTTAAAAATATTTAAAACTTACCCCCATACGGTCCGGAGCCACCACCGAATAGTCGAACGTCGTGCCGCGCTTCCTGGCCTCCGGGTTGACCTCCTTGATCAGCTGCGTGAGTTCGCGGAGGGAGCAGTCGAGCCATGTGTACACTTGCAATTCATTGGCCGGCACACTTCCGCGGTTGCCGTATTCGGAGATTGGGTTGTGGCGGCTGTTCGAGCAGAAAATGCGCAGCAGCAGCGGGCACGTCTTCTCGCGGTCGACCGGCTTCTCCGTGACGGGGTTGACGTGGCTGATCACTTGTGAAGTCATTCTGGAAGTGAGGAGGTAGAGTAATATCCAGGAAACTATAGAAAAGAATAAGGAAAATTTGATTTTCAATAAATCATAGCAAAAGTTATAGAAAAGTGGCAAGCAATGGAATGGCTTTGGAAAACAAAAATCGGACTGATTGCGCAAAGCTACGAAACTGTACTTTGTACGAATAGCGTAAAGTGGAAACATGCGTACAGTTGACTCGTTTTTAGCCGAAAACTTTTGATGTGGCCTTTTCAAAGCAATTCCGATTTGTTGCACATTTTCGGGGGTTGTCCTTGCGATGGCAAAGGGGTGCTGGGGTGGCTACGTCGATAGGCGGGGTCGTAGCGTGGTAGGGTACCGGTCGGCACGGATCGAACTTTTTCGCAAGACCGCCCGGCTGTTTGTATTTTTTGCGACATGTTTTGCAACCTAATTTCTGACCGTGAATAGCCAAGAATTCAGTGACACGACGCCGCGACTGCCGTTTTCCGCGGAGATGAGCCCGTGTTGGGCGTTAGTGGCCGTATTTTTGGCCAATCTTTTGACCACCGAATCGGCGGACCCTTGCATGCCTATTAATGCTGCTTTTCGATCGGTGTCGTCGCAGAATGGCGCGGTAAGTTCAAATCAAGTGTTTGCAATCGATAGATGATAAAAAGTTGTTATTTAACCAAATAGACTTTGCTGTTTTTGTGACGCGAAAGCGTGGAGATAAGGCGAAACTTTCGGGTAGAACGTATGACTAACAAGTAAATAAAATTGAATAAAATAAAAATAATAAAATATTTAAAGAACATAGAATAGATGCGCGGCTTCCACCATCGATTTAAAGACATATGGTGGTCATGCTAGTTTCACATTTTTGCGCAAAACCTGGGTCCAAACTTTGAGATATTAATTTTCGTATTGCTTCAAAGCTGACAACATCGCTCAAACTCGATACACAAGCTACTCAAAATCCATAATCATATCTTCCAGACCTCATGTAAATGTATGATCGACCCGCTGGTCGGGACAAATTACGACAACGTATGGATTGGCTGCTCCGGCCAGTCAATGTCCACTGTTTTCCGGGAATTGCGGTGAGTTCCGGATCAAATATATGATAGAAAAAACTGTCTATTCTACCTTAGAAAATATATCGACGATTATTTAGAAGCCTCAACGAGACCCGGGTGCAACGAGTTCATATTTGGGACAGCCAGTTGAACATCATCCCGACCGAGATGTTCGAGAAGGTCAGTGAATCACTATTGCATTTAAAAATTGTAATTGTAAACTGTAGGACCGCCAAAACATGTAAAATTGCGCAAAAGCCGAGCGTAAGCTAATCATACCTAATTTTTAGGCCAATCCCAGGAAGCTGATCATTGAGAACTCGCTGGTCAGCGTGGTTCGCGCCGGAAGTTTCGCTACACTTGGAGCGAGGTTGACGGAATTGCGGTTGAGGAATAATGCTATCAAGAAGGTAGACAACACTCAAGAAGCTGACTGTAACCCGAAAATTCAGACGATCGATCCCGAGGCGCTGAAAGGGCTTGATCATCTCCAGATTTTGGATGTTAGCGGTGAGTTTTAGGGCGTAAAAAATGAGACTCCTTTTTAGCAAACAAAATCTCCAAACTTCGCGCCGATGACCTGGACTCGTTAACGGACCTGCGCGAGTTGTATCTCAACGACAACGCTATTTCCGAGATTGAAGATGGGGCATTTTCGGCTTTGTCCTCTCTCCGCGTGCTGTCAATTCAGAATAATCAGCTTGGCGCCATCAGCAGGTAATTTTTAAATATCGAAACTTTGGATAAAAATTTTAGAAACATGTTCAAAGGGCTGGAGAACCTGGAGGAGTTGTACCTCGAGAATAACAACCTCGCCCACGTCGACTGGACGGCTTTTAGGCAGTTGAAGAAGCTGAGGGTAATTTCAAAGTACGCGAGATGCCTAATTACAAGTTTTAGGTCCTCGACCTCGGCCGAAATCAGCTGACCTCAATCGACCTGCAAAGCTTCGACAAGCTCGAAAAGCTCATCCTCAACAACAACTCGCTGCAGAACTTGAAGAACGTCTCGATTCGCGACCTGCGGAACCTCAACTACCTCTCCATGGACCGGAACTCGTTGGCGCAGATCGACGAGTCGGATTTGAGGGGTCTTTCCGGAAGTCCGAGGCTGGAGACGCTTTCTTTGGTATGCAAAAAAGTAATGCGATACCTATATAACAAAAATTTAGGCTTCAAACAACATCTCGGTGGTGGCCGCTGGGGCTTTCAAGAATCTCGTCTCCTTGAAGACGTTGGCGCTTCAGAATAACCAAATTACCAGTGAGTTTGGCTCAAAATATTAGGAATTTTTGCTGAAGTAAAGGATTAAAGTCCGGATGTACCTATTGACGAGATATAATCTATCAACCCTTATCCCTATTATTAGCTCTGACGACCGAAGGCCAATCGCTATTGTCGCCGCTGCGCCTCCTCAACGTCCTGATCCTATCGGGCAATCGGCTGGAGGCCTTGAAGGGCCACGATCTACCGCCAGCGCTACATACCCTGGCTGCTGACCACAATCGCATCAGTCACGTGAGTTATACAATATTAATAGACCCTATTTTCGGCCTAAAAATCTTATAACCGATCCGATTACAGGTTGATTCTAACGCTTTCCACGGTCTAAAGCTTCAACGTCTTTTCCTCCACGACAACCGTTTGACCCATTTGCCGAAGGGAACGTTTGACCAGATTGATCTCGATGTTTTGCAGGCGATTGATCTGACAGGTTTGTTTAAAATATACCGACATATACCCTGAAGTAATCCCTTTAAAATATACCGACATACCGATACCCTTAAGTGCGTCAGTTAATGGATAATATTACTGAAATTCCAGAAAACCGTTGGCAATGCGTGTGCGAGGAGGAATGGCTTGGAGCTTGGTTGGAGAAAGCCGGCGAGGCTGATGTTGGCGAAGGGGTTCTAGGCTGTCTTGCGATTCCATGCGATCCAAAGGAAGCAGCGGTAAGCTTCATAACCTAGGCATTAAAAGGATTTTTAGGAGAAGCCCACCCACTGGGCTACCGTAGTCGCTTCGGTTTTGGCCGTTGTATCTGTCGTCATTCTACTCGGAATCGTGTATCTCTATGTGGAGGACGCCAGGATGAAGGTAGGCTTCGAAATCGAAGATACCTTAATGAATCGAATATACCAATTTGTATATGTATAATGCGCGATAGTAGTATGACTAGTAAATACCTTTAATCGCTCGATTAAACCTAATTTCAACACTTTTAGCCGATTTCCAAGCACTCCTTCCGTCGCCACGACTCGGATATGCTAAGACTTATCAACGAAGAGGTAGCTTAACATATTGAAACTAATTTCATTATACTTTTTTAGTCGAAAACCGACGAGGCTCGCGGTGTTGCGCCCAAGCCACGACCAGCCGACGCCGCACATAACAAGAGCGTTCGATGGGCTAACTAAAACCCTAAAAAATGTTTTTTTTTAACCCAACTCTTCCCATCGAGATTTACCCGAATAACCTTCTCGCAATCGCATTTTTACCCTCGTTTTCTGCTGGTTTTCGCTTGATCCGGTTGTTTTTGTTTTTATCTTGGTTTAGAGCTGAATTCAATCCAAATTTGAGAAGCTAAAAACTCCAAAAATTCAGCTCTATAATTTTTTTGAGCTTTCTTTAACCCTTACCCTCATTTTTCTATGGAAAAATCTCATCTTACCCCTGCAATACTGGTCAATTACGTTTTGGCTGGTATCCATTTATTTTTTGAATATTTTCTAAGCACTAAAGATCCCAGTTTTGATCAGGAATTATTACAACAAATGTTATAAGTAAATTAATGTCGCCCCTAGCTGTCTTTTAACGCTTTTACCTCCTCTCTCACCGTCTTTTTTATGACTGTTGTGCAGCATCTCGAAACGCAAATAATCCTCAAAAATACCCTCATCGTTTTCTTGTTTCTCCGAAACCCCTACGTGTGCATCAAATTGAATATGTGGTCAGGTTTGGAATACTGTATTAATCCCCCAGAATTGTAGAAAAATTGAAATATCCCCTTCCCATTCGTGTGTGAGTGCTTTTTTTTTACTGCCATGGCCTATGAACAGAATAAATCGCCTTCGATTTAATGTCCTATTAGACAGGATATAAAATATCGAAAATTACGATATTTTAACGCACATGAAATTATAAATAATCACAAAATAAAATAAAAATTGTATAGGAGTCGAAAATAAGCAAAAAAGGAGCTAGGGGAAAATCGACAGCCTGGTCGTTGGGATGAAAATTTTCATGGTTTTTGGTTGATATTCGGCCTTCGTACGCCTAGGAGTCGACCGTGGTGGCCGAGTGGTTAAGGCGTTCGACTCCAAATCGAATACCCCGGAATGGGGGTACGTGGGTTCGAATCCCACCCGTGGTCGAAATTTTTTGCGTTTTGCTTTTTGCTCCGTTAGATGCTCGCGGTACCTTAAAAGTCCTGCAACGTCCAATGATGCCGAATTCTCCACATTTTTTTTCCATTCAGCTACCATAATAATTCCAGCTTCATCCGCCGTTCTCTCGGAAACCAATTTTAGCTTCTACCCCATGAGCCGGAAGCCAATCGACAAGCTAACGAGGGCTGAATGGCCGTGGATGGTGATGGATCCGTTCCGGCCATTGTGGCTTCCGGCCGGCACATACACAGAAGCCGCAGGGGACAGCCGCCAATTTGGGTTCGTTTTTTAGGGGGCTATGTGGGGGGAGGTTGGCTCTAGGGGAGAAGCATAATCATGAGCGCGGGGGGGCTCAGGGCCTACATGTCGTGTGGGGAGACACGGCGGGCCCCCACTTATGGCCCACGGGGGCCCACCCCTCATTTTGGGGCCTCTACCTCGAGAAGAGGGCTTCTCGTACATACATCGGACAAAGGACATTCCATCGCGGATCTTGAGATTTCCGAGGGGGATGGGACATTTCTTATTTTTTTATGGGTTTTTGCGTTTTTTTTTTCTGGTCACCG